TCCAGCCCCATGCTCCTACCCTTATAAAAGAAGCTTGCATGAAATCTCCATTCACAAATTTGAATCACCATTTTACATTGATCCCTTTCACTATAAGTTTGACAAGTATGGAATTTTGTAACCAGGAAGCCAATGTCCATGCATAGCTAGGGTTGGAGGTAGTTTGTCTTCCCAGAGTTTCACACACATCCTCCATTAATTCCCAGTTGCACTCTTCCCAGGCCTTCCCTGATGCCCCAACCCTCCTCCTCCCTCCTGCCCCTTGTGACAGATTTCAATGCTTCTTCTTCTTCTTCTTCTTCTTCTTCTTCTTCTTCTTCTTCTTCTTCTTCTTCTTCTTCTTCTTCTTCTTCTTCTTCTTTTTTAAATTTTTCTTCTCGTTTTTCGAGATAGGGTTTCTCTGTGTAGTTTTGGTGCCTGTCCTGGAACTTACTCTGTAGCTCAGGCTGGCCTCGAACTCACAGAGATCCATCTGGCTCTGCCTCCTGAGTGCTGGGATTAAAGGTGTGTTCCACCACCACCTGGCTCCAGATTTCCATGCTTCTTACAGAAGATGGACAAATTTTAATGTTCTTGAGCTCAAGACTTTAATTATTATAAAAAAATTCTCATAAATACTTCAAAGAATTGAGTCATAATTATAATGCACAGTGATTTGCAAAGATGAATAAGCATATAGTTGATATGTTTCTATAGATGGATACATCCATTTGAATATATCTCAATGGAAACAGAATATTTTCATTCCTCTAAAAATTCCTTTCAAACCTCCTGCTGTTCCTGCTACCTTAAGAACCAGCCACTATAGATACTTTTACAATTAAAATTTTGCTTGGCCTTTTACTTTGTTTGCTTAGATTAATTCAATGTATATATGTTTGGACTTATCCATGCCATTGTATTTCCTTATGAGCATTTATGAGGCTAATTCATTTATTTCATTGCATGTATTTACAACAGGTAACTAATTTCATTTTAGTAGATATATGTAAGGCATGTATTATTTTCTTTTTCTTTTATTATGTTTTTTATTTATTCTTCCCTCATACAAAACATCCACAACCTCCCCTCTCTTCCTTCCTACCAGGCTCCACCTCCCCCATATCCACTGCTCTTCCATTTCCCTTCAGAAAACAGCAGAACTCACAGGAATACCAACTGATACAGCCTAACAAGATGCAATGAGACTAGGCATAGACCCTCACTCGTATCAAGGCTAGATAGACAAGGCAAACCATAGAAGGAAAAGGGTCCCCACATGCAGGCAAAAAAGACAGAGACACCCCCTCTCCCATTGTTAGGAGTTCCACAAAATCCCCAAGCTAAACAACCGGAGCACATGTGCAGAGGGCCTGACACATACCTGTGTAGGCTCCATGGTGGCCATTTCAGTCTCTGAGCCTCTATGAGCCTTGCTTAGTTGATTCTGTGGGCTGTGGGCTGTGTGTTTTCCTGGTGTCCTCAACCCCTCTGGCTCCTACAATTCTTCCTCCCCTTCTTCTTTGGAGTTCCCTGAGCTCCACCTAATGCTTGGGTGTGGGTCACTATATCTGCTTCCATAAGCTGCTGGAGGAAGCTTCTCTAACAATTGAGCTAGGCACCAATCTATGAGTATAGCAGAATACCATTAGGAATCATTGAGGTTTATTTTTTGTTGTTGTTTTGTTTTGTTTTTGTTTTTCCCCAGTGTGTGTGTGTGTGTGTGTGTGTGTGTGTGTGTGTGTGTGTGTGTGTGTGTGAATTGTGTTTGGCTCTACCCTAGGACTCTAAGAAATCCAGCTTCTAGATTCAGGCTATGTAGGCAGTGTTGGGTATGGGTTCCCTCTCATGGAATGGGCCTCAGGTTAGACCAGTCATTGCTTGGCCACTCCTACAAGCTCTAAGTCACCATTGCCCCACAGCATCTTGCAGGCAGGACAGGTTGTGGGTTGTAGATTTTGTGGCTGGGTTGGTGTCCCAGTCCCACCACTGGGAGCCTTGCCTAGATAGAGAAGATGGCTGGTTTAGGCTCCATATCCTATGTTCCTAGGAGTCCTCATGAGTGTCAATCTCATAGGCTCCTGAAAGTTTCCACTGCACTAGGTTTCCATATCACTTCCTAAATGCCCCACCCCATTCCAGTCAACTCCCCTCATACTCTCTCCCTCTGTTCCTCACTCCTCCACCTGATTCCCTCTGTTCTCATCCCCACCCATCCCCAATCCACCCACAAAATATATTCTATTTCCCCTTCCCAGAGAGATCCATGCATTCCCCCCAGACCTTTTCATTTAACTTCTTGGGATCTGTGGATTGTAGCACGATTATCTTTTATTTAATAGTTAATTCCAACTTCTAAGTGAGTACATATCATGTTTGTATTTCTGAGTCTAGGTTGCCTTGCTCAGGATGACTTTTTTTCTAGTTTCATCCATTTGCCTGCCAATTTCATGATGCCATTTTTTTCTAATAGGTGAGTAATACTCCATTGTGTCAATACACCACATTTTCTTCATTTATTCTTTGGTTACAGAGCATCTAGGTTGTTTCCATTTTCTGGCTATTATGAATAAAACTGCTATGAATATAGTTGAGCAAGTCCTTGTGGTAGGATGGAGCATCTTTTCAGTATATACCCGAGTGGAATAGCTGAGTCTTGAAGTAGATTGATTCCCAATGTTCTGACAAACTGCCATATTGATTTCCGTTGTGGCTGTATGAGTTTGCATTCTCACCAGCAATGGAGGAGTGTCCCCATTGCTCCACATTCTCATCAAGTGAGCTGTCATTTATGTTGTTGACAGGTGTAAGATGGAATCTCAAAGTAGTCTTGAAGTGCAATTCCCTGATGGCTAAAGATGTTGAACATTTCTTTAAGTGTTTTTCAGCCATTTGAGATTCCTCTATCGAGAATTCTCTGTTTAGGTCTTGTGGTAGTTTGAATGAAAATGGCCCCATGGGTTCATAGAGAGTGACACTATCAGGAGGTGTGGCCTTATTGGAGGAAATGCATCACTAGGGGGTGGGCTTTGAGGTCCCAAATGCTCAAGCCAGGTGTAGTTTGACCCTCATGTAGAACTCTCAGCTCCTTCTCCAGCACCATGTCTGCCTGCACAGTCATGCTTCCCCCACATGATGATAAATGAACTAAACCTCTGAAACTATAAGCCCTCTCTAATTAAGGGTTTTCTTTTTATAAGAGTTGCCACGGTCATGGTGTCTCTTCACAGTAATAGAAACCCTAACTAAGACAGGTCTATATCCCATTTTTTAATTGTTTGTTTTATTGATGTCTAGTTTATTCAGTTTTATATATATTTTGATTATTAGCCCTCTATTGGTGTGGAGTTGGTGAAAATCTTTTCCCATTGTGTAGGCTGCTGTTTGGTCCTGTTCATGGTGTCCTTTGCCTTATAGAAGCTTTTCAGTCTCATGGAGTTCCATTTATCAATTATCAGTCTTAGTGCCTGTGCTATCAGTGTTCTGATTATGAAATTGTCTCCTGTGCCATAGCGATCAAGGCTATTCCCTACTTTCTCTTCTTTCAGGTTCAGTGTGTATGGTTTTATGTTGAGGTCTTTGATCCACTTGTACTTCAGTTTTATGCAAAATGATAAATATGGAGCTATTTGTATTTTCTACATGCAGAAATCCAGTTAGATCAGCACTATTTGTTGAAGTTATTTTCTTTTCTCTATTGTGTATTTTTGCTTCTTTATCAAAAATCAGATGTTCATAGGTGTGTGAATCTATGTCTGGTTCTTCAATTCTATTTCATTGATCAATGTGTGTGTTTTTATGCCAATGCCATGCAGTTTTTATTACTATAGCTCTGCAGTACAGCTTAAAATCAGAGAAGGTGAGACCTCTGGAAGTTTTATTATTGTCAGGATTGTTTTAGCTATCCTGAGTTTTTTATATTTCCATATGAAGTTGAGCATGTCCTTTCAAGGTCTGTAAAGAATTGCGTTGGAATTTTGATAGGGATTGCATTGAATATGTAGATTACTTTTGTTAGGATTGCCATTTTTACTGTGTTAATCCTACTGATCCATGAACATGGGAGATCTTTCCTTCTTATATCTTCTTCAATTTCTTTCTTCAAAGATTTGAAGTTTTGTCATACAAATCTTTCACTTGCTTAGTTAGAGTTACCCCAAGATATTTTGTATTATTTGTGGCTATTGTGAAGGGTATTGTTTCATTAGTTTCTTTCTCAGCCAATTTGTCATTTGTGTATAGGAGGGCTACTGATTTTTTTGAGTTAATCTTGTATCCAGTTACTTCACTAAAGGCGTTTGTCCCTGGTAGAATTTATGGGGTTGCTTATGTGTGATGTCATATCATCTGCAAACAATGATATTTTGACTTCTTCTTTTCCAA